GAGGGCCTGGCAGCCCTGTGCGCTGCCCCCGTGTGTCTGAAGGGCGGATTTGGCTCTAAATAAATGAGTTGTGTGCTGACAATAGGAGCAGAATTTTCTTCTCAAGCAAGTGCTGTATATAACAGAGAAGAGCTGGTGTCTGACTGAAGTCCCAAAGCCCTTTCCTTTGTTGATCTGTTCTCAAAGGTGGCGCCAGAAGAGAAGCTCAGTGGCATTGTCACACAGCCAGTTGAAGCTGTTGATTTTATTTTCCTTTTCTCCCTTCTCACGGAGGATGTCCCTGCTGTGCTCGGCAGCTCCCTCAGAGCAGGGAGCGCTCCTGACCTCAGCACGGCCTGGGCTTGGCAGATGCAGCACACAGATACCAAGTACACATGAAAGGATCATTTTTCCTTTGGTTGTAAATTAAGAAAGTGCAATTAAAACACTCAAGTTGTGTTTTCCATTGGCTGTTAGGACCATATTTAAAGACCTTTTTTTTAGCTGTTGCACCCTCTGTCAGTCGCTTTTACACTTTGTGGCACTTCCCTGCCTTTAGCTAATTCTTTCCTTAGCTTTCTAAAGGAGTTATCAAGCAGGCTTTATTATATACCTTTAATAGTAATCCAGGAGAAGTATCACTTCATATTTTGATATACTTAGGCTGTCATAAATCTAGTCCATCTTGATCTTTATTGAAATACTTGATAATGTGTGATACAGCTCTTTTGCTGAAACTGAATTACTTAGATGCCTATAGACTCTTGCATGTTGTTTCCCTACTCTGCTTCTGCAATTCCATGTACTATTCCAGATTTCTCTACCTGCTGAATGCCCTGTATTAGACATAAATGTACCCTCTGATAAAAGGAAAATAAATTTGCCCACACATTTTTGTAAGCTTGAAAATGAAAGAATTGTAATAGTTGCTCTGAGTTTTGGATTAAGCAGGTCTACTTATAATTGTAAGACAACTGAAAGAGAGTGTGCAGCACTGGAAAACTCATAAAGCTCTATCAAATGTAGTGGGAATGAAAGCAAGACATTAAAGAGATTATTTTAAACCCTACTAAATTAAAAATTGGTACTATATTTAGATTCTAATTCTCTAATTCAAACAGAGGAGTAATTTTCTCCTGCATTATGTTTTCACAGAAACACAAAAGGAGTATTGCTTTCTATTAAGTTGGGTTCAAATTTTCAGAAGCCTGTGTATTGAGAATTTTAAATGAAAATAATAGTTCATAAGAACATTTGCACAAGCACATTGTGGGGAGGGAACAGTGTAAAAATGCCATCTCTTTGTTGATCTTTGGTTTTTTAAAGCCACGCTTCCATTTCCTAGATGGCAAAAAATATTCAATGTCAACAAAGTCTTGTTTAGAAGCAGATGAAGAACCCAAAACTCTGTTCAGTCTATATGGAATCCTTCACATCAATGCTACTGAAGTAATGAAGTGTGATTTAAACTGATTTAAATTTCAACACAGGAGCAAACATGCAGCCTACCTGGATGGCCCCAGCTGGGTATGGCCTCAGCTGTCTGGGCAGTGAGTGTTTTTGAGAATGAGATCAGTGCCAGACTGGCACTTGGACTACATTTCTGTAAGTGCTTCATGTATAAGAACTGCCCATGATCCCTCATAAACAGAGTGAAACTCTCTGCTCCCACCCACTGAAATTGATTTCCTATGCAAGCAGCAAGAAGCTTTTGCCAAAGCCAACAGAGGCCCTTCAAACAGCCACTCAGCTGGCTCTCAATTTTCCTGTTTGTGTTTTTCTTTTAACAGACTGTACTATGGAAAACAGACCACACTGCTCCATTAAACAGCAATCCATTGAATAGCAGGGCTGTACAGTAATAAAATCTATAGTGGGTATTTATATAATGAGAAATGTACAGAAAATATCCCAGGTATGAATTTAAAATTAGTTTCCCAAAGCACACTGTGGAATCTAGAGTGCTCCAAAATGTTTTTGTGTGGAGCTCAGTGTTTCCTTTTTGTCCTTTGATGTCCAAATCGTGCCACTGCTGAAAATCACACCATTATTTTCAGGATTCCAAAGTCTAATAAGGAGGGATATTTTTAGTAGGAAGCAAGACCAAAAATCTGTCGAGAACAAAAGTTGCTGATGTATTTTTTTTTAATCTTGCAACAGAGCAAGGATGTAGCAGAGGGAAATTCCTTGCTGGGGGAACCTGAACAGCTCTGCTAAGGGACCTCTGAAATCCCATTCCCTGATCAGACTGAAGCTGGACATGAGAAACCTGGGTTCAAAGCCAGATTGTGCCATGGATCTGTGTTGTCATCTTGTGCAATTTCCTGAGTCTCCTAATGACTGCTGTCTCCCTCCAGTCTCATTTTATAGCTGGGGTCACTTGTCTGTGTTGGCATTTATACCCTACCTGCCCTGTAAGTCACCTGGATGTGGAGGTGTCTGTATTTTAGCTTTCCTGGCTGCTCACCCCTTTAGACTCACCAGGCTTTGTCAAATACTTTGAAATAACACAGGCACCTGCCAACAGAAACCTAATTTGGTTTAGCAGTGCTCAGCCAGTTCCCAGGAGCTGCTTTGATACCTTATTTAAATTTCATGTTGTGTTTTGTATCTAGGTTAAACACGCACCTAAAACTGCAAGGACAATATAAATAAATTTTGCAAGTCAAGCAGTGTTTTCCTTACAGCAGAGGAGGGAGTACAAAGAGTTTCTGTAAAGCTTGACCAGGTCACCTAAAGTTGGTGCAGCCAGAAATAGAGCCATGATCTGCTGCACTCTGACACCAAGGCTCATTCCTCCTGCTCCTCTCCTCTCTGTAATGAAAAGCCATATTCAAGGTGGTGTCACCTGTCTGATGTGTGCAGGCCATGGAGTTTAATGAACATCATTGCTGTCTAAGTCAAGACTTCTGTACTGTTTCCTAAATAGGGTGCCAGCTCAGCTCACACTTGCCAGTGCATCCCAGGAATTACTGTTGGGAATTTTTTCCCTTTACCTGCAGAACTCAAAGTGATTCCTGTAGAGTTCTCTTTTCCCTTTGGTTTTACTTGCTGTTCACCTTCCCACTGTGCTTCCCAAAGCTGCCCTGTGCATTCCAAGTAGCTCCTGTGCCCAAATGTGCCATGGGCTCCCCAAGTGTTCTTGGGAGTGGATGTGCACTTTTAGACAACAGCTTGTAGGTGCTTTTGAATCTGTAGCACTCACCAAATGCTATTTAATTGAACTTATTTCAGGTAGCTATGGCAAAATCTATTTGAACTGGCATGATGGGTACAAATTATGGAAGGAAACTATACAGAAAATAATTTTGAAAGGGCCACAGAGCTTGAGGAAGCATTGCTCTAGAGACCTTAAACCTGAGCTGGGATGCAGCATTAAACAGTGATGTGGTCACAGCAGTTACTTGTATTTATCTCCCCAGGGTGATGGAGATTATTATTATGGAGATATATATATATTATATAATATATATAATATAAATATCATGGAGATATATATATAATATAATATATATTATAATGTATATTATATAAAATAATGTATAATGTATTTTGTATAATGCATAATGCAATTATAATGTATATTATATAGTATGTATTAAAATATATTCTAATAATAATTATATCTCCATCAATATAAATATGATGGAGATAAATAAAGATTTGCTAGCAGCTGTGGTCTGGTGGGTGCTGTGGTAGCTGCTCTGCATGTGGAGTTATTGAAGTTCCCAGTGGTGCAGTGCATGCTGAAGGGTTTCATTGCTTCCTGGTAATTACTGAGTGTGCTGGCCAGCCAAGGCCAGTATCAGTATTGCACTCTGTGCTCTAAGCTGTCCTTTGAGTACTGGATACATGTTCCAGTATTTAATAATATCTAATGGATCAGAGAGCAGATAAAGGCAGATAAAAATTGCCAGTGTATTTTTATAATCCTCTGAAACTCTTACAGCAGCCAAACAGCATGACATTGTGCATCTTTCCTTGGTGTTCTGAGGCTGTTATTAAAGTCATAAGCAAAATAATATTTTCCCACATATCTTACAGTGCAATTTTCATGTCTGCTAGTAAGAGTCTAGAGAACTCTGTAAACTGGTTTTCTTCTTACCATATGAAATATGAATATTTAATTCCCAAGATACTCTTGTATCTATGAGTACTTTTATTAAATCTGATTCCCTTGGTACATTCTAGATCAGGGAACATTGTGTTTTGTCAGTACAGCCTGGTTTTGAGAGGGTTGGAATAATAGAGAAAGGTTGGAATAATATATCTACTGCTTCATTTGAAGGGAAAAAGTATTTTACAGTATCTGTGATATCTACTGATTAAAAAACTGTTTGTAGTGTATATCTGAAAATATCTCCACAGCAGCTTTCATTTAGAAGCACAACCTGTCATTAATGGATTGACCACCTGATACAGCTTTTCTGTTCCTTGGCACTATTGGTGCAAGTTCCTTTTTAACAGTTGTTAACCATAAAATTAGGAAATGACAATTAAGCTGTGCTCCAATAAAGGCTGTGCAGGACCTGCTGCTGCCTAAGTCAGTTCTGTGCATGCTAAAATCATAATCCCTGCAAGAAGCAGGTGTTTAAGTATAAATAACCTGATTTTTAAAAAGTTTTATGGCATTTATTACTTCTGTGGTAGAAGGAAGAATGAAATAAAAATCATTGATGGTGAAAAATAGATTTAGTGAGGTAACATATTGTGCATCTCACTGCTGGACAAGGAGGAGGGAAGAAGCTGATCAGGATCTTCAGGTAAGAAATAAAGCTCTCAGATATTAATTACTCTAATGGCATTGAGGAGGTTATCAGCTCAAGCAGATGTCCTGCCATGCAGGAGAGAGAGGATTATGCATTGGGAGTGTGCTGGGCACAGCAGTGCAGTGAACATGAATATTTTCCTTTCTTTCAAGGTATCTACACCCCTGAACCGCTCTGCAATTTCTGGTGGGCTCTTTTATCCACGGGGTTCATGTTTGTGTATCATTTCAGCATCCTGCAGATCCTGGGACTGGTAAGTAAAGCCAGGTTAATAAATGGATAGTCTGCAAGTACAGAGTAAAAACACTGAGAAGTCTGAGTGTGCAGGTCTACATGGATAAAACTACTTGCATGCAAATTTTTTATAAGGCTACTTGTATGCAAATTGCATGTTCTAACAAGCATTTGTATCTTATATCTTGCAAGTACTGGTAAAATAGCTCATAGATTGGTTATGTACCTGCATAAATCCATTTATTAAATACACAATGGAATTTGGATCTGCTTTTTTTCTGAAAGCTGCCCTACTTGTGTTGAGCAAATGTGTGTCACTTGAACATTTTTGATTATTTTGATAATTTTCTAAATTTTCACTGTTTTTAGGTGAATCAGTGCAAGATAAAAATATTCTTAATTGATAAATTTATTGTTGCTTCCTCAGGTTACAGAAGTGAATTTGAACAACATGCTGTGCCCAGCCATTTCAGATCCTTTTTATGGGCCCTGGTACCGAATCTGGGCATCTGGACATCAGACTGTCATGACCATGACTCATGGGAAGCTCATAATCCTGCTGTTTCACAGTGCTGTCCCCACCCTCAAATGGAGCATGGACTTGCTTGGACTCCCAGCTAAGAAAATAGACTGAAATGTCTCCCCACAGAGCAGTGCATACAGGAAGCAGAGATATACTGGAAAACAAAGAGGGGGGGAGGAGAGGACAATGTCTTTCTACTTCTTCCCACAGTTTTTTGCCTCAAAAACACATCTGTAATGAAGTGAGGTTTTTTTACCTGCTATTTCTCACTGCCTATTGCCAATGGCAAAATTAGTGGCCTTATTTTGGGGAAGGTTCATGTTTTATACATTTTGTATAGATTACAGTAGAATCTTGCTAAGCCACCATTTAAAATTAGGCCAGGACCTGTCCACATTCCAGCAGAGAGAGTGGCAGTGCTACCTCATTTTGACTCATTTTCCATTAAAGAATTGTACACTTCTAGGGCAGGAAATAATGCTGAATTGTAGCACTCCACTGATGTGAACCAACATGCTGGACTGCATCTCCTGGCTTAACTCTTAAAGCTTGAATGTTCCAAAATGGTCACAGGAAATCATGCACACTTAATCTTCCAATCAGAAGTGCAAAACAGTGAGGTTCTACTGTATTTTCTTAAAGCTGGTTGAAAATGTTGGGGAACAATAACTCATTAAAAATATTAATCAACTACTTAATTTCTAAGCTGCAGTGGGTAAGTACCTATCTAGTGAAGTCCCATCATGATGCTTTGGAGATGCTTTTATTTTGGTAAGGGGGAAAAAAATGTTGAAATAATTTCAAAAGACCATGTTATGTATAGGCCATGATACGATATTGCATCCACTGTTCTGTCCTGACTTAGAACAAAATGGGTTTTTTTCACTTACCTTAAACTGGAGAAGGAGTGGAGATACCATGTCCAATGTAAACATCAGGAGGTTTTTTTATATTTAGTAGCTTTTGAAACATTCCTGATTTGTCTGTGCTGATCCTCACTGACCAGACTGGTTGGTGCAGAAACCAAATGAAACTGTTCTCTCCCTACAGTTCTGCCATATTTTGTGTATTGTTTTTAAAATACAGGTATAAAAAGGAATGTCCAATCAGTGCAGGCCTCTACTGCAAAGGGCATGTTCCACTTTAGCAGCATGGCCCATCAATGTCTTTTGGAGAACTGGATGGGCAGAATGATCAACTGTGCTCAAATTTTGCAGGAGGAGGAACCATTGGGCAGAAAGAGAGAAAATCCTGACTGTGTTCTTCCAGAATTGTGAGTCCATTATGCAGACTGTTGTGTTTCAGGGCTGCAGATTTTTCTTGTACAGAAGTTTGGGGGAATTTATAGATTAATTGTGTTGTCAAAGCTGTGATTTGAAACCAAAACCATCATACCTCCTCCAGCTGGATCACCTGAAGGTATGTGCTGAAGTTAAGGTACAGATATTTATACCTCAGGAAGCAAAAGCAAGTTGGCTTTTTTTTTTTTTCCTTAAGAAAGAAAAAATTATTTTGTGAGGGAACAAGTGGCTACTTCAAATATTTTTACTCCATATGATTGAAAAAAGTTCACCTCAATCAGAAATACATTGTCCCGTATTCTGATTTACAAATTGGTTTCTGGCATTCTTCCATGCCTTGCTGTATGTGTGTGTGTATATAAGAATATACTGTATGCTCACAACTTGAGAACATGCAGCATGTACCTAAACTGTCCCTCAGGCATATACAGCTGGTGTTAGTGTTACAATAGAAGGACTTTAAACAAATTTTGCAAGTACTACTTAGCATTATTATTTGCTTTATTTGCTTAACTTATGGTTTATGGGGTTTTGTTTTAATTGCCTTTTTTTTTTTTTACAATCTTCCCTTTTTTTTTTCCTGTCAGGATATTATAGTTACTGGAAACACTTCTCTAAGTAGGAGCCTTTTCTGTTTTCCTTTTTTAAACTATAGCATTTCCTATCTGTAATCATCTGCTTCAGGGCATTCCAAACAAGTACAAAGCAGCTGCTGTTTGCCACCATTGACTGCCTCTGGTCAATTAAAACTGCAGGAGCATTTAAATGAGCTCAGGTGTCTCACTCAGTGCAGGCTCTGTGCTTGGAAAGCAGAATTTGCAAGCTCTTCTGGCTGACTTAAAATTCAGTAGCAGCAATGTGAGCAGAGCTGCCAGGGCCATCCCTGGGCAGTGCAAAGGGATTCCTGGTGCAGAGCTGCTGGGAGTGCCTGCCCCTGCCCTCCCTGAGCCCACCTGTGCTCTTCCCTCTTATGCTGCTCCAGTTGCTTTGAGTCACACAGAAATTCCAGGTGGAATTTCACCACATGGGGTTTGCTGCTGGAGCTGCTCATCAGAGCCAGTGGGGCACTTGGACTGTCCTTCTAAACCTTGTGTGGGCATGTTCCGGAGCTTGTTGAATCTTTTCTACCAATTTAAGTTGAGAAAATGTCTCACTGAACAAGGCAAAAAAGTAGAGAGGTAACCAACTACTGCACTCAGTAAGGATTTTAGAAGTACTGAAGCTGCAGCGAAGGAATCAAATGGTGCAGCTGGAGTCAGGTGGGAAGGCAGGCAGTGCAACCTTCACCTTTTGAATATAAGCTGTTGCTTATTTGTTGTTGTGCACTATCAGTGAGAGGTGTTTGAGTTAGAACAGAATCATTTAGGATGAAGAAAACCTGTGAGTTCATCAAACCAAGCATTAACCCAGCACTGCTGAGCCCACCATTTACCCTTATCCCCAGGTGCCACACCTACACATCTTTGAAACCCCTCCAGGGTTGGGGACTCCACTGCAGCCTGTTCAAGGCTTGGTAACCCTTCTGGGGAAGAAATTTTCCCCCAAGTCCAATTTAAACCTTCCCTGGTGCCACTCGAGGCTGTTTCCTCTTGTCATGTTGCTTATTTCCTGGCACAAGGGGCTGACCCCCACCCTGCCTTCAGGCAGCTGCAGAGTGACAGGTCCACCCTGAGCCTCCTTTTCCCCAGGCTAAACCCTCAGCCATTCCTTAGATGTGTGCTCCAGACCCTTCCCCAGCTCCAGTGCTTTGCTTTGGGTGTGCTTCAGAGCCTCAGTGCCTTTCCTGTAGTGGCAGGCCCAAAACTTACAATTATTCCCTCCTTCCCCATGCCCTTCTTTGAAGGCTTTTAGGACTTTATGTAGATTTATGGTGACCCACCACTCACAACTGCATCAGTGCAGCTGAGACAGGCTCCACAGAAGGGGAAGGACAGGTCAGAATGGGAGCAGAAAAGGGAAAAACTTCTAAAGCAATTGTGGAACTTCACATTCTTCATTCCTCACCTATCTCTGGTATCTGCTGGGAATATGCATTAGCCAGAGCTTGCCATATGTGCAGGAAATGGGAAAGCAGAGTGCTTCATCTCTATAGCACTTATTTCTTGATTCTTCTTTTCCCTGAATGGTTTATTTTATAGGCAGTTACATGATACAGATTTCTTTGGTTGCTTCATGCTTGTTTATGCTGGAAATGAAAGCACAGAAGTGTAATGCTGTTCTTGGGAGGCAATTGCATTCTCTCCTGGGGAGTTACACACTCAGTCCATGTCAAGATAACTTGAAGCTGTTGCCCAGTACCTGGTGATGAGGTTTTACAGTGCTGCAGTGCAATGCAATTGAAAGGGCTGTCCTGGGGCTGCTGTCACATGTGCCCAGATGTGTCATGGCACTGGAACTTCAGCAGCAGCAGCTGAAGCAGAGTGCAAAATCTCACCCCAGAGCAACTTCATTTGCTGGCCGGAATACTCCAAAAAATTCTTGTGCAGTGCCACTGCCTGGCCTTCAGAGATGCTGGTATGGGTGAAGGGGTCTGAACAGAGCCCTCCAAGTGTTGGTGTTGTAGACATTTCAAAAGAAACAAACTCATTGCTCCAGCTGCCACTGGCTGCATTTCCCTCCATGTCTACCCATGAAGGCAGCATTATTAGCTGTAATAAACCTGTTTACTGATGGGTAAGTAAGTAGCTCTCCAAACCAGTAACATTTCTGCCCCCACCACCTTGTGCCATGGCTGCAGCTGTCCAGGATCCCTGCAGTGCTTTTTCCAGGGATTCAGACACTGTACAGTGCCTGAGCTGGATCTGTTTGTTCAACTTCCTCTTTTAAGCACCAAAGGAGAATTTGCTTTGTTTCTTTTGAGAGGTGCTAACAAATAGTTCTTGCCCATGTGTTTGTAAATTGATGAAAAGCCACAGTCTATGAACACACACGTGGAGCTGGTTTTGGTTCAGCTTCTTAGTTCAAAGATGCTGCCCTAAGCTAAACTTATGTGTGCTTGAGGAAAAGTCAGTCCATTTACAGTCCAGTCAAACCTTGAGGTCAGAGAGTACCTAAGAGTAGGTTTCTGTTTCTGGCCACAGAGTTTTGAAATTCTTGTATATTTCAGATAATTTTATAAAGTTCAATTGTATTTTTCAGAAATGGCTATTTGCAACTGTTAACTGACTGTACTTCTATGTCCTAAGTCTTGCATCCAAACCAGAAGCATTTGTTTTCTATGCATCCATAGCTTATGGAAAATAGAGTTGTGGTGTTTTCTTCAGTGTGACATTTGTTTCACTCTAGGTGGATCCTTAGCAATTAAATTCATCCTTACAGTTAACAAAGCTCTGAAAAAGCCAAAACCCAGGAAGAGGGTATATGTCAGCCCTGGTGGGAGGTTTCTGCAGGCAGGCAGGTCAGCTTTGGTGTTTTCAGTTCTACAGTGACAGGACTCATAACAAATCTGTTGATTTTTGTGACCTTGTACTTCAAGTGATATTGCTGTAAATTTCTCTTGCAGCTGCTGGTGTAACTTAGTCAAAGCCAAGTTGTTTTATAAATAATTTTATTTTTATTCAGGGTCAATTTTGTACTTTTAAAAACTTCCTGCATTTCCTGAGTCATTATCCCAATGCTGCAGAGGACACAGCAGGCAGAGCAGTGAGCACACGCCACTGTCCCTGACCATCCTGTGCCAGGGGCTGGGCTGGAGCACCAGGGTTCCCCACACTCCAGTGCCAGCATGGCATTATCCAGGCACAGAAGGGGTTGGAAAGGGCAAGGATGGATGTGGATGGGCTCAACTGCCACATATGCTGTTAGGTCTGAATAATTTGTAAGTGTTATAAATTTTGTAAACTTTTTAATGTGCTAAACTTTGGTTATGAGGTAACATTTACAAATGAGGGGTAATTTGTGTACTTGTTTTTGTATTTTGCTCTGGTGGGCTTTTTTGTTGTTGTGCCCTAAGTCCAGATCATTGGGCAAATAGTTGTTAAACCTTGGAATTAAAACAAATAAATGCATTTTACTGGATACTGGATAGTTTTGTTATCATTCTAATTGTGCCATGGCTGAGTCTGTCTTGCTTAGGACTTTGTATAACGAGGTAAGAATCACAGAGGCACATTAATATTAGCTCTTTATAAATCAGGTAAGAAGATGGAGCCTGCTGTCTGAAACAATCTGATGTTGTCTACCTTGCACACAGCAGTTCCTGGGAGCACAGTGGCTACTGGGATTTCTGGAATCCTAAGCAGTTCAGTCTGACTTTTGCCTGTTGTTTACTGGCAGAGCTCATTGCAGGCTACAAATCCTTTAATCACTGTTTAAATAGGACCTGTCCTTGTCTTTCAGGTGCAGAGCTCAGGGAGCTGTTGCAGCACAAAGATCCTTTTTTCCAGGCTTCCTCACTGTTCCTACCCCAGCCTGGCCCATGTCCAGTAATTCCCATTTCACAGCACTTTAGCAGAAGATGTGAAAACATATACAGAAGTTTTCAGCTCACACCTTTGTTCAGAAAGCTGCTGTAGGACTGCACTCAGCCTCACATCACAAGGTGGCAAAGTAGTTATAATGTACTTTGCAAATGCTTCTGGCTGTAATAAACATGATTGCAGCATAGTTAAATGTATTCTTGTGACCCAGTACATCTCAGACAAGCAGGTTATTGCCGTGTGTTCAGTTCTTGGCAAATACTGTTCTTGGAAAAAGAACATACTGGATGTGCCCACCCTGTGTTATTATATATCCATTCAATTTTTCATGTGGCTGGGGAAAAGAATCCATTTTCCAGCTTAATTTCTCTGGAAGAGTATAAAGACTGAGGAAACAGCTTAAGTAGAAATCCAGTGTGAAGTGCTGTATGGCAGCCTGAGTTGAACCAAGCAAGCAATTTCCCATTGCAGGCACTGCTGATTAGTGGCAGCAGCCCTCTGTAACTAATTGGAAATCACCCTTTTATTGTTTAATACCAACAAATATGTAAGAATAAGTGAGTTTCTACATCTGAAACACCCTTAATGCTACTGGCTTGGTTTGATTTTTACAGCATGGGAACTGGAGAGCTAAAGCAGTGAGAAGAGTGAAAACTCATTGTAGGAAGTGGTAATTAGCTCAGCCTTTCAATGGCCTCAGGGTTTTAGACTAGGTTTAGTGTAGGTTTTACATTGAATTTTACCAAATCTGTGAGCCAAGCTTCCATCACTGGTTTAGTATTTACCCAGGCAGGTTTCCTTTCAGATGTTTGCTACTCTCCTAAATCACAGTTTCAGAGCAAGTGAAGGAATGGCTGCATCAGACTTCACCATCCAAAGGTTACATGGATTCTATTGCTCTGCTTTCAAAGGCACTGCAGCTACAGCCAGCAAAGCTTTTAATAGAGCATGAGGCAAACAAAGCCCTTCTAAACTCAGAGCTGAGTTCCAGGGAGATGGAATGCTTTGTCTCAGGAATTATCCTACAGAGGAACTATGCTCCCTCTAACTCAGACCCAGTAGAAAGTGTCTCAGTGCACCAAGAATTTGGCTGAGGGACCAAAGTTCTCCAACTCAGTTTTGGCACCAGCTGTGCTGTTGCTTTGACAGAGGTTCTTCAATACACACTGGCACAAGGTTCTGCTGAACAGTCTGGCTGTTGAGGGGTACCAGTGCTGTGTTGCTGACACCAGTAGAGTTGGTTCTGCAAAAAAGCTTTACTTCAAAAGCATTTCTGCTTCACAGGAGGGAGCTCAGGCCTGGACAGAATTCCATGTGTAAAGTTAGACAAGAAGTACAAAACTGAACTGGCAATTGATATAAATACTGCTGAATACACTGATAAATAACTGATGTAGCTGATATAAATGATGATTTCACTGGGAGTGTTTAGTGCACGTACCTTTCTCCAGTTTGTTCCTACAGCAGACAAGACAGGAAAATATTTCTAACACACCATTAGCCTTTGACATTAACACCAGGTACAAATGCTTCAATAAAAACACTCATCAAGCCACACAGTTAAGCAGAGAAACATGAAAAGAAATGGTGATTCTTTTTCCTTATTTTATTGGGTAAATGATTTAAAAGGTAATAACAATAGTGTTAAAACTACTACAATATCTTTCCACAGCCATATCTCACAGACCCACAGATAACCTTCTAGCATTTTTTTTTCTTTTTCCTCATTTTTCTCTTTTTAAGCCGTACTTATATTAAAATGCCCATTTCAACAGTTTCTTCACACTAATAGCAATTAAATGTGGAAGGAAGAAGGATCTAGTCATAAAGGAAGGGGGTTCAGGTAATCTGTGATATTACTGTAATCAATTGAGTTGCTAAGGAAGGAAGGAAAAGACCGAGGCCTTACAAGCTACTCCAGGTAGCTCTAAGCCCACTGTGTCACCATGGCATTGAAGATAACTCAAGATGCTGGTGAACAATTTAAAGTAAGTTTGTTTTTTTTTTTTTTTGTAACATATAAAACACTAAAATAACTTAGAAACTAGATCCAAATATCTTGAAAAGAATCAACTTTGATATATAAAAACAGTCGTAAGTTGTTACAAAAGTTTCAAACAAAAGTTTGTTTTCTCAGTGCGTTTATGTACCAGCGCAATTACTGAGTCCAGAGCAAAGAAAGAGGTTTTTCTTTTTTATTTTTTTTTCTTTAACAGTAATAAAAAATGAGGAAAACATATCTTTGTATATAAAGAATCATTGCTGGTCTTAAGAATAAATGTAACCAGAAACCCTTAAATCTGAGAGGCACACTTTGGGTTTCTCTTTTTTTTTTTTTTTTAACTTTTTTTTTTTTTTTAACATAAAATGAAAGTCACCAGTTTATTTAAATGGAGGAGATACTCAGACTCCCCAAATAAACTTAATTCAATTAACATCACTAGCAAAAATCAGTTAGAAACTGTACAAAAATAAAAAAGTTAACACATTTAATCCTGCAGGGATTTTGTAAGGACTGGAAGGCAGGCTTTAGGAGCAGCATTTGGGCATGGCTGGAGGCTTCTTTGGTTCGATCTAACACACATAAGAGATGTAACCTACTCCAGACAACAGTTTTAAAACCCGCACAGTTGAGACAAGTAGAGGTCCATATACAAACTCCAGGTGTGCCAGGGCTGTGCCCACCTTGGCTCCAGAGCGGGCTGAGGTCAGGACCGGAGCGCCCCCCCCGCCGGAGCAGCGGGAAGGACACTGGAAACATCACCGAGTAACAGCTTCGTGTCAAGTCTATGGTTTGGTTGTCTAACTCAGTTTACAGAACAGAGTTTTTAGGAACATTAGGCAAGAGAATGAAAATAAAACCAAAAAAACCCAACAATCTCTTCAATGGAATAAGGCAAACTGAGTAGTGCTCATTAAAAACAAAATAAAAAATCAGCATTTCAACTTAACAGTGAAATAAGCTACTTGGTTGTACCTTAATTTCTATAAAGTACCCCAAATGAAAAACAAATCTGTAGCTAATCCCAACAATGCAGCTAAAAGCTACTAAATGTAACTACGAGGGAATGACATTTGTGAGAGCAGTTGCTGATTAGCTTTAAGCAAACAGACCTGTGCTGTGCCAGTGCATGTCACAGTGAGCTGCACGTTTGGTACAAAGAATCCCACAATTACAGAGAAACAATCTGCAGCAGTTCAGCACAATGTGCTGAGGAGGTAGGTGCCCTAGAAACACTGTAGGTAGACTGATTATTCCAATCTTAAAAAAAAAAATCATACAATCTGATGATTGACCACAGACTCTGTAACAGTTTTTAAATTAGTGATACAAAACTCTGGTCCAGAAGGGTCTGGCATGAGCTCGGTTCAAAAGCACACCTTTACAGTTTGTATAACACCCTTAACTATATTTTTAAGCAACAGCTACTAAGAGATAGACAAAAATGCATTGTGCATTATGCTGTATACAAAAAGGAGACAAAACTATCCTTTTCTCCCCCAAGCCATGGTGGGAAGTATTGCTGACCTTGTCCTTAAAATCCTGCAGGATTGTTTATTCATCAGTATATCATTATTACACTGGTAAGAAATTCTGTATAACATCTGCATATATCGAAGATTTCTTAAAAAATCTGATATGATTTTAGATCCGCATGACCAGTCACGTGACCTTCTTGAGGTTGATTAGCACCTTTCAATACATATATATTTTTATATATAATAGATCTTTTTTAAAAAACTTCTAACAATGAGCTCATGCAGAAGCACGAGCGAGCTGTAACGAGATGACAGATAAAGATGGGGTTGGATGACTTTTTTTCGCAGCAGAATGATTCAGTTTGTGCTCAGGTTCCCTATAAGGGCAAGAAAAAAAACCAACACAACTCTATCAGGTAGCCACTTGTTCACATTTCCACTTGAAGACTAATTCATCTAAAAGTGTTCCCCAAGTAGAAACAAGACAACAATATCATCCAAAATAGCCTCTGTATAAACATTTACTCATTTTTGCAGCTTCTGGCTGGCATCTCTTGGCTCCTGAAATTTCAGGCTCTCTGCTTAAAAATTAAGGCATCGCAACTGAAAATGGTAATATTTGGACATAAATGCTGTGGATGAAGGAATACCAAAGACCCTCTACAAGAACCTCCATAGAAATTAAGTGGCAGACCTAACCTCACATAAGGGATGAGCATAATTTATCCTTATCCGACTTTGAAACCCTATTGAAACACTTTTACAGTTAATCCAATTTTTTTTTAAACTGAATTTTATCTATTTGATTTTTATATATCTATGTACTTACAAACATTCATTATTCAAAGTAACTGGAATTTCTGCTTACTGTGGTTTACTCACTCAGATTAGGAAGGTCTTTTCTGTAACAGGCAGCCTGTGCTGCAACAGGCAGCAGTGGGAGTTCTGCAGGCACAGGAGGAAGCAGTGAGCTCCTGTCATTGACTGGCCTTGCAAACAGACCACACATACCTTTTACTAAGTCCTATTTTTACAGCAGGAAAAAGTTCCAATCGATTTTCTTTCTTCTACCGTGTGGAGGGGGATCAGAATTATTACACAGTACTTACAGCTCTCAAGCA